GCTAAAAACCGATCTAGCATTAGAACCAGCAAGAAAAGCGTTGTCATCACTCCAGTCGATCCCGTGAGTTTAAAATTCAAAGCTTACATTTGGGAAAAAGTTTTGTAGTAGCTGAACAACTTTCACAATCCAAAACAAAAAGAACAGCGTGTCAGGTTCACTGATCATGTTAACGTGTCAGCTAAAATTCTGACCTGTACTGTAAACATACCAAACCCTCCAACTATCACAGAATCTCTCACTCCAATTGGTTTTCCCAAGACACGGAACTGGTCCCCTATCTGGAATGCCAACTCCCTGAGGAAAACGAATTCATATCATACATGTAAAGATTATGATACACAAATTATTATTACACAAATAATTCAGCATGTAAGCTCATCGGGATTATTCATGTGAACATGTACACTGTTAGTGTAGGCGACAACAGATTCAAGTCTACCATTTTCTTGCTATGAAATTTAGAGAAATGAAGAGACCTATGGTTAGTTTTTACCCCCAAAGTCTAGCTGCATTAGCCTCAAGCTGGACCAAGACAGGGTACAATTTTCTTAGCAACGGACGTTCCTTTTGGTCAGAACTGTCTCTTGTGGTCATTTTCATCTTAATAATTATGTAGTTTTAACTATTGATATTGGTTTGTGTTAATGTAATTTTCATTTTTGGTAGCTGAGTAATACATTTTTATCTTATTGTAATTTCTTTAAAATTCTTGTGCCTGTCTTAATTAAGTATGTAATACAGTCGACTCTCGTTAGTACGAGGGCTTTGGGACTTGCTAAATTAGCTCGTATTATCCGGACCTCGTCTTACGCGAAAAACTGCCATCCTGCTCGTCGCATGTATTGCCAATCGACCGTAGGTAAAGCGTACATGTGTACAAGTATGCATAACTTTTTGTTTAAAGGCACATAGTATCCTTTTGTTACATGAATTTGATTTTTGAAAGTCAGAATATGAACGGAGGAAGCGGAATTTCCACCAGTCATGTCGATTCGGAGCGACACGTCCCAGCCCCGCACGCCGTGATACAAAAACATTTTAGTTGGTAATCAACACCGGAACTACATTTGTTCAGGAACTATGAAATGTTTACATGTACATTACAGTTACACCAGCATGGCTCTTTTCAGACGATGAGGGGGTGCTTCTGCTCCAGGCGGATAAATAGCACAGGGTTTTTTCATTAGGTAGTGAGCAATGATGCAATTATATGCCAACTATTTGAACCCTCGCACACCTAATGTACTTTTCAACATTGGCATTGTAATCTGGTGGACTGCAAGTCAACGTAACTTGTCACTGTTCACAATCTCAAGTCAAGTAGACAGATATGTTAAGCCCCGTCCCATTGCGTTCTGACCAGTTCACAGCCGTGATTTATGTCCTACATACACAAAAGTCTGACAAGCTTGTTGCGTGTATATGATATGCGCAACTGGAAAATGTAGTGTGGCACTGGGAAAAGAGAAAGTGTTAAATGCCCACGGTGGGCGGGGCTTATTGGAGTGGTCAATTACAAGTCAATCACAAATCAACCGACAAGTAAATCGTAAGTCACCACCAATCACAAGTCAACTTATTTGTCAATCAAATCACAATTTGGGGTGAGGTAAGTAAGGTTACAACAAGAGGTAAACAGAAACAAAGGAATTGCTACAATGCATCTGAAAACAGTCTGCGACCCAACCTTAGACGTAATGACTTGTGATTGTCAACCTCAAAGTATCAGTTAAGCATATTCAAACCTTGTTGGTGTAAGTACCAGGCAGAAGATACCATAAGGATCCTCACTTAGCTTCTGGAGGATGGGAAGAGCAAAGGCAGCCGTCTTGCCGCTGCCAGTCTTGGCACAGCCGATGCAGTCGTGACCTGAAGTTGAAAAACAAGTCATGTGTACAATTATCAAAGCATTTATAAGGTGCAAAGTACATGTACCATGTATCTCGCAGTATTTGTAATTCAACGGCACTGATAAATTATCGTTATCCCTTCATATTGGGCTAACATCTGAACGTTTCTGAAACCATCTCAGCTCCCTGGGAGAATACATAGCCTTGTGCCCGCTTATCAGGTCCAATTAAATAGCTACATGTCATGCATTTAGGCATAATAACCATATCTGCCCTCACAGGTACCCATTTAGTCCCAGGAGGAGTAAAGTGACTTGCCCAACATTACAGCATGCTGCCGCCTGCTGGATTTGAACCCCCGACCCTAAAATCAAAAACTACAAACCCTAACCACTAGGCTACATGCCCCCGATCATCCATCTCACTATACTCAACCAATTGCTGGTGTCGATACTTTTGACCAGCCTATCACACATATACATGCTGGACGTGATTGGTCGATATAAATGTACACGATTGCTCGATCTTTGCGCGATGAGTAGACCTTACTGCCTGATTTGTCGATAGTTGCACCTGTGTTTGTACAGCGTGCGCATCGAGCTAACGGCCACAGTATGCTGACGTGTGCCCATCGCCATGTAATGAGAGACAAAGATGGTAAGAGATAGCTCTGGATTTTGATAAAAATAGCTGGTTACATAAGCCTTATCGCTAATACTGCAAGAGTGACTTTGCGCAATAGTATAAAGGCATCATGGGAAGGAAAAAGGGGCAAACATTGCCCCTTTTCTCTTCCCACAGTGCCTTTCCACAGTTTTGCATAATCAGCCATGTGGTAGGTCTATTACAAATAATGCCCATGGTCCAAAAACCACTAAGCTCGCGTTTTAAAGAGAGATACATGTATTTAGTCATGTTAGTGTGGACGGCTTTTTGGCATGTTTGGGGGACAATATGGGAAAAGAGTTCCTTATACGGACAACACTAAGTTCCCTGGAAATGTTGTAACATCTGTCAGAAATTGAAAATCATGCTGACAAGTGAAACAACTTCTTAGAAAATTCTGGAGCATTTGGGCCTAGGGCCTACTGAGAAAACATTTAGGTGTTTCAGATAAGTCTCACAGGTTTGTGCACGGGGGCATCAGGTGTTGTCCGTATATGGAACTCTTTCCGAAATGTGATTGAAAAAGTGCAGTGTTTAGGCACAGTCAACGGGCACAGAAGCCCATACATGCCATAGTGTTTCAAAGCAATGGAAATTTGGAACTCGGGGGGGTACACAGAGTTTGCCACGTGTGCCTCTCTGTTCTGGGAGTAGGCTACTTCCTGAACAGTAAGGCACTACTCCGGAAGCTTTGGAGTCAACTCGGACCTTGGAGAACTCGTACCTTGGACGTCATGTACCTTGGACAACTCGTACCTTGAGTTAAGACCACTTGTCCCTTCATATTTGCGATTCAGTTGTAACTCTCTTGCTCTTCTTTTCAGCATGTGTAAGATCAGATTTGATAAACATATCAACAGAAAACCTTCATAAATCTCCTGGAGAGATCTCAAGCACCAGCATGACTGTCTGCATATAGTGCCTACCGCGGGCATTTGCGCTGTCAGTTTATTACATGACATATGTCCAACAACCCGACCGTTTACCAACTTGACTTGTATTATTCTGTTTTTTTGGGGGGTGGACTTTAGTGAACTCTAAATTATCTTGGGTTTTTTGAGGGGGGACTTCAATTTATTCTTAATCTTATGGCTCTGGGAAAACATTTGTGGGGGAATGATGGTTTAGTTTAGTAACTTTTGGGGGGTGTACTTAATGAAAATTGTTAGATCTTAATTTCTTTTGGAAATGTTTCTAGTTTCGTTTTCAAATTTTTGGGGGGAGTGGTTGCCCTCCTTATTAAATTTCTTCTTTTTTGGACAACTGAAGTTACCACTGAAATTTACAAATGAAAACATGACATCACTCCATCATTACAGTGGATTGCATGGTCAATGGTGAAGATTCCAAATTGCTGGCCACATTGAAGACCAGCACCAGTTGCCTGACCGTGTGCACATGCACAATGTCGACACGTCTCACATTAATCATTTTTAATGTCACCCCATCGGCTTGTAGGGAAGGCAGTATAGCCAAAAACAGCAAATTAGGTGATGAATACATGACTAGGAATTCAAATTATTGTTCAAGTTAATTACAACAATAATAAGCTCTGATTTCTGTGAAGCATGTGAAGGTACTGTGCGAGTTGTTCGTGTATGAGTTGTCTTTACTGGAGGTCCGAGTTGTCAAAGGTGCGATTCGGCAAAGGTGCGATTTGGTACAGTTCTGTTGAGTTGACGGTACGAGTTGTCCAAAGTACAACGAGTTGTTCAAGATACGAGTTGACCTGTTCCCTTCTGTAGGCCTTCGTAGTTACTGTTCAGGAACTTAGGAGTGAAAATATGTGTTAACCTGCCCCTACCTCTTAAAATTGGAGGAATACAATACTGCTGAATTGGAGTTGGCTGAGTTAAACCCATAGATCTACACTGTTCAGAGAGCCAGTCGTGTAGCCCAAGACCAGCGAAGGAACACCTCTTAACTTTCCCGGGTTTGCGCGGTTTGGGTTCTGCATCTTCTAACATAGCTTCTGCCATGGCCCTGCTCATCCCCTGATAATCACTGATAATCGTCGCTGCCTTGGCTAAAACGGAAGACACTTGAACTATGAAGACCTCCGCAGGCCACAACTGTCATCTAATGTAACTTACTAACTTAACGTTATATCTTCTTTGATCTAATGTAGGACACTGCTTCTGTTCACATCATGAAACCGCTGGGAAAAGCTGCAATTTGTGGACACCAGTATGCGAGTTTCTGTCAACGTACGCACTGGCACCATGCGAGGATCGGTGACGACACGTGCAGCATGCATGCAGCAACTGGATGGCATGACTAGACTGCACTGGTGGAGAAATAGTGCGCCCTCAACGCTATTTATTAACTTTCATCACTAAAAACCGCATGTTTTAGAATATCAGTTACCATAAATTTCTAAATATTAAAATATGAGAATAGTATTCAATAACTAAAATCTTTATTTCATACAATTAAAAACTAATAATGTCAAGTTAATGTTAATATCTTCTACGTTTTCAACATTATTGAGGTACTGACCTTGAAATTTGGGTAGAAGCAGTATCACAACCAGAAAAGGTACACTTATGATAATTTATACTTAACTTACAACCATTATGATTCACATTATGTGGGGGGGGGTCACCGCGAAACATGAATTATGCAGTACTGCTCTTTACAAAGCTTTAAGGCGCGGTGTTGGGCCTGCCGTACAGGTACGTGTACGTACAAAAATATGTAAATAAATGTACAGTAGATGTACCTGACGTGCATATGTACATGTACTGTACATGTACATGTCTGTCCAGTACGTGCGTGCCATGAAACAGAAACACTGCAAGATGTGTTACGCCGCTACCCTTCGCTGCAGAGGTTTGCTTTTAACCAAGTGGTGTGCACGGCGACTAGTTCTGCGTACGCGAATTGGGTTGTGAAGGTTAGGGATATGGTGTTTGAGGGAATTTTTGGATTTTTTTTTTACTTTTTGAGAGGAGGAGACTTTTTTTTTTCAATTTTGGGGGTTGAGTTTGATCTTTCCTACCCACTACTGAAATAACTGAACGAATATTACAAATCTGAAACTTTTTGCTCATTATGAAATTTTCCAATCCACAGGTTCCGGGAGGGCTCCATCGGGGTCAACTTTATCTCTGCGAAAAGGGCCTACCTTCAAGGACTACTGAAACAAGAGCCCTAGTTTAGCCTTTCTTAGAGGTGAAAACAAATAAACAAATCTTTTGTAAAGACACTGTTTACGCTTCATTTTTCTTCCATGATCAAAGACACGAAGTTGATTTTATCTACATCCCCCAAATGTACATGTACAGTACATGTACAGTACGTAACCCCACGTATATGCATGTACGTGCGTCAGCTGTCCTTGTCGAGTCGAAAAACCGCCTTGTCGCGTCTGTATCTTCCCGGTTTAAAGTTTTTCTTTGTTTTTTTTTCTACTTTTGGACGAAAATGGGGGCAGGGGGGCTCAGCGATATGTGGTTATGCCATCATGAATAATTCAATACTATTCTAGAGCCAATCATACAATCGTGCTTCCCGAAAAAATACTTCATCATTTTGACGGACAAATCGTGAGCCTCTTTGATTAAACATGTGACGCAGTATTGAATAAACACGAACAAGCAGGCACGCGCGCGCGAGTACGCACATGTACAGGTGTACATGTACATGTACGTACAATCGATCGACATTTTCAAGAATCTTTCGTGTATTAACCAACTATTTTGTCAAATTATGACAAAATAACCTGAAGAATTTATTGGAGCCCTCAGCACTGCTTCAGACAAACTGGGAATCGACGACTTCCACAACTACGAACTGCAATCAGCGGCGTAGCGAGCGGGGTGTGTGTGTGTGAGGGTGTTGCACCCCCCGAATAATTCTTTTCAGTCGGCAAATAAAGGCACCCTGGCACCCCCCCCCCATGAAAATGCCTTTGCTACGCCGCTGGCTTCGCGCGCGGATGTGACATTTCGAAACACTTCAACTGTTACCGTCACACACTGGGAACAATACCATCCATTTCTCGCTAGGGGCTTAGTGAGTTGTGCGGCCACGGTACAGAAACTTGAACATCAAGATGTTGGGTTACAGACAGGACAAGGCACGCACGTGAGCAAGCTGAGAGTGGCGCAACGGCTTCTCTGTCTCTCGCGCGCAAAGTATAACGGCCCAAGTGCAATGTACGTGTTAACTACCACACGAGGTGACTACCGATGTCTAGCCCGTTATGGTACCTAAATGGCACGGAGACGCTTTCTACAGTCGCGCGCCCGACGTGTGGCTATTGTGGACGTGGCTACCTTGCACCTGAGAATGGTTACCTGATGTGCGTTTAACAGATATGGTGTTTTCAGCTGCGCATCTAGCCGGAAGCAAGAGCTGACGCAGGATGTTAGCGAAATGATGGATTGAACTTTATTTTGGTGGAGGCTTTACTTTAATCAAATAAGTTACTTTCTCGTGAATTCATAACATAGGGACATGGCACTTTACGTGCAGAATATGCGGCACACTCACCGTCTGAGACATAAAATTGGGGATGACATGATTACTCAAAACACCAACTTGTGCGTACTGGGGTCGTATGCTTACGAACCACTAATTAGTCCCCAAGGATTTGTTTAGAACACTCTGACAGTATAATCTTTTTGATAAGCACTATCAAAAAGATTGGCCCGTCCCATAATAGCATATTTATGTTTTTAGTCTGTACTTTGAGGGCCACGATCGTTGTGCGAAAGATAGTGTGAGCGGCGGATTAGTTACACCTTAGCCAATTCACTTACGCACGTACGTACGTCCTAACGGCCTCTTTGCAGTGCATGGTCTTGGCCATCGCCAGGTGAGACTTTCTCTCCTAAAATGATTCCATTTTAGGCCGTTTCTCGCTGGTGTTTCATTATGTTCACATAACCAGCTGATGCATTATTATTTGTAGATTACCTTGGTTGGGTTAGTGTGCATGATCTTGTCATTTTGGAAATGGAACGTGAACCATATAAGTTTCCAAACTTCCAACCAATGATCTTGCAGTTGGGTCATACGCGACGTGTATTGTGCAAGGGTGACCGTGTCGTCACTGTTATGTACGTGTACAATGTACATGTACATGTATTGCAATTATGTCGCTTCTCGACCATTGTATACACGTCAGGTTAATTAAATGTGATGTGTGTACATGTAGACTGTGTGGCTGGAGTGGTCGAACACTGCGTGCGTTCTTTAGGCCGTGTTGCATGTGGCATCTATGGGCCAAATACATGTACAGAAATCCCTAACGCACAGTTTGTCAATAGTACGTGTATTTCGGCTTGCAAACATCATGTTGATCGATTGTTCGTCATTCTTTTGAACATTTATTGTTACATGCACAGATTTCGTTGCGTTTTTGAATCTTGTAGGCCTCTTATTCACACGACAGGGAGCACTTGACATTCTATTTGATCAGCACCCCACATAATATCAGGGTAAGCTGGTGAATGATTACATATAGTTTTATGTTCAGTTTACCAATTGGCTGCTTTGCAAGTAAACTTTAATCTTTCATGCAGACTCAAATCACGGTTGTACTGATGGAAAAGATAAACAGCAAAAAGGAAGAACAGCTGAAAGGGCGAGATAATCTTAAAATAGGCCCTTCGTATTAAGTCTTGGTAATTTAATTTTAGGCATAACTCCCGAAGGAGAATTGCCAATAATACTAATCCAATCCAATAATAATAATCCAATCCATGGATTGGCACGGTAACATCGCCAGATTTCATATATGACCAAAAGGACATTATAGGCAGGAGTCATTCTTGTGTCTTTATTATTACTTGATCAGCAGACTTTCCATCACAATAAAGAACTGTGTGTCACGCGTGCAAAGAAAACTACATAGTTGTCATAACAAGGAAGTTATTTTAGTTTGAAAGGTAGGCTGTTATGCCGTTTAATACTTCATTTTAACCTTGAGGAACCTTTTTAACCTTTTTTAATGTCAAAAAGGAAGCAAACGCCATTTTAGCCTTGAATGCGCTGACCATCCATTAATTGTTTACTAGGACAAAAGTTGGATCCATTCAGTAGGATCAAAACTTGTCATATTTTTTGCTATGCATGTCGAGGTCCAAAGATTTGTTTTGAAACAGCCTACACTTTGGGGCAGAATCGCATTGGAGGTAATATACGGATTAGAAATAGCAGCTGCGTGCTTAATGTTCACGACATGTCAAAACAGGAAGCAAATGCCAATTCATATTTTTTATTCAATGAAGAAAACCACCACCAGTCATAGCTCAGTATGTGAGGGTAAACATCATTTGTTTTAAGGCTGAATATGCCGATGGCAAGAAGTCGGTTGGGTTCGCGTTGGTTTCTCTTTTAGCAGAGTTCATAAATTTCCTCGTTGGAGCATCCCTCACCGCAGCATTCCTCGTTAAGGTTTCGCTTCCCGATACCACGTCCGAACAAGAATGTGTTGGCGTCCTTTGAATACAGAAACTCTGCAGCACGGGTGACGAGAAAAATGTTTTTTTGTTTTCACTAAAAAATAGCTGTCTTATATTATTTTCATCATCAACCCCATTCCAAAAAAAGTCGATTCTTCTGCAAAACAACAGACTGATCAGAAATGATGCGGCCCTTTAATTAATGAGAAGGTCTTCTGCATGATATGTACAGTCTGTGGGGCACCGGGCGGAGACATGCTTGCATCAAGGCGATCTGGCTGGGATCTCCCCCCCCCCTGGAACAAAAGGTGCGAAAAAAGATGGAAACAAAAAAGAGGGAAAATGGGATAAAATCCACCAATTGCAAGATTTCAGTTTTCATTTTCTGTGAGCTTTGGAAAGAATCAGTTTTTGTGACAGCAACGTGACAAGCATTTGCTTCTACGTTCCTAAATTATGTGACCTGTCCTTGGAGAAAGGCCTTGGTGAGAAAGTGGTCTCAATGCTCAGATTGAATTAGTGATTTTTTATTTGTTTGACAGACGTTTTTTGAGACATTTGCGTAACCAGGCTCGTCTCACAGCTAGGGCATAGACGGGGCCAATCGTTACCATGGTGGTAACCTTGCCCCCCTTTGCTACGCCACGGGTGAGGGACAGCATTTGAAGTTTTCAGTTTGATTTCTGACTTCACTACTTTGGTTGGAGACTCCACGGAATGCATGCATGGCGAATCTCACGGTATTTTTCTTGAAGAGCCGCGCCACAGTAGTGCGGATAGCGAACCCTGCGCAAAATGGGTCATATCACCTTCTATAAATTACAGGCTGTGCTTACTGATGCCATACACTGCTGAAAAAAGTTATAGGTTGAACACATACCAGCCAGCATCATCCTAAACAACGACAAGCATGTCAATGTCTTGTACGCTACATTGCACTCGATTAATGAGGTGACGTCGGAATTTAGAAATGTCTTTGAATCGAAGAAACGAAGTTATTCTCTCAAACACGGATAGATTATGTAGCGGAAGGAAATGTAGGGTCAGAGAATAATGTCGGTTTTTTACTCTTTAATTTACCTCGCAATTAAAAAATAAATTATCCACAATATTGAAGGAATTAGCCTTTCAAATTGCTAAATGTCAGGTTAAATTTGATTCCATACATAGAAGTGCTCGTTTTGTAGTTATTAACTAAAATGTTGACGAGTGAAGACATTTTTAACGGTTTAGTATTTTTCTTGCCGATCACAAATGGCAATGCGGACACTTTTGTCAGGTTACAACTCAGAAACAACTCATTTGACATTGGACCGTGAACATGGATACGTAAAAAGCAAACAAAATGGCGATGCAGCGACGTTAAAATACGAATGATTGGGGATGTATGCTGAATTGTACAAAATGGTATTTATAATATTGACGGTAATTAACAACGATATTTATAATGTGAATTTGATACTTTAAATAATAGTAAAACTAATAATTACCATGGCTATCTGCTCTGGTCATTTACAGATTCCAAAGGCCCCGCGGTCTTAACACCCTGCAAGGCGTAGCGTGTACATTTTTTTATGAAGTTCTCAATGGCCTCTACCGGATAGTCGCTTTTGTGAGGGTGTATATTTATATATATATTTCTTTTTTTCCAAAGGCATTTGGCAAGCCTTGGCTTCAGCCGATTGAATATTCCAATGGGGCCACGTGGCGAAATTGTTTATCCACAGGCCGATTCGAATATTTTGTTTTCTGGGTAAGGCATTTGGAGCAAGATATGGGACGGAGAGAACCCCCCCCCGCCTTTGTTTTGGTCATTGTTTGATCGGAATCTCAAGGAATTCTTTACAGACTTCTGGGGGGGGATGTGTTAGGTAACAATAGTCTAGAGTGTATATAGGGATTTGACATGTAAGGGGGGTACCCATCCGTCCCATATCTTGCCTGGTATAGGGTAAGGGGAATCCCAGACATTTAAGGTGACTACACTAGGCTGTTCAGCATGAACAGGGGCAGGCAAACACGGGAGTTGACTACATTGGTCGTATGTTGTTTTTTTTCATAAAAAAAACTTGGCAAAAACGAGTAGGGCATAGAGACCATTCGGTTGACCCGAGGTTTAAACATAGGGCCTACATGTAGTCGGTTAAGTCCAGTCAAGCAAAACGTCGTTCCTTATTAAAATATGCAACGATAGTACGAATGCCTTTTGGATATTTATTTTAATGAAACTATATACGAGATAACTTTGCTTACACTCTCCCTCCCTCTTTGGTGTCCGCGCCTGGATCGCCACTGATTTGTTGAACTGTTGAGAAAACAACCGAAAAAGTACAAATAAAAGAAAACGAAACGAAAGAGGTAGGCTTAGGCCTACAAGTCACAAATTAATTGGTCTACTGGGCCATCATGTTTTTATTCGTTACATTACGCAAAAAACCTGAATAGCAAAGATGTTTTGAAAATTTCCGTTTTGCCCAACTTGAGTTTTCAAAAATTAATTAAGTCTTAATTGTTAATTCGTGAACCCTCCTCGTGGTTCCGTAAATAAAGTAACGTGAAGCGACCTCCAGGCGCACGAAGCGCGGATACATTGGTTACTACCGCTAAAAATAGCCAGAACTGTGTGGAATGGCAGGGATCCTGTGATGCCTGCAACAATTTTGTTGGACCTTCACCAGGTTCTAGAGCTTAATGCAGTGGCCAGCTCATGTAGCTCCAATCCCACTAATGCACTGCAAGCGCTGCGCTTTACAACAAACCCCTCGTCAAAATCTTGGGGCGTTGTAAAAAGAAGCATTTTACATGTTTTTAATATGGCTGGGACTTTGATATTTTCAACTCTGATTGAAAAAAAAATTGGTTTAATCCAAATTGTTTTAAAAAATTTTTTTATACCTTAATCTGTGGGAGAGCATCAGGGGATATAACAGCTTTATATGCGGAACTTCAGAAGTGTTTTATAGAAGGGAGCGCTGATACGGGAAATTACAGCAGTCGTGTGCGATGGCGGCGCGACATTTAACATGACGTAAATGTCATAACGTGATTTTTAGCACTGCATGAATTTAAAAAAAATTAGGTTCTTTTAAACAGGAAAAGTAAAGTTAAAAAACATTAAACTTTAATGGAAATTAAACTGTATCCAAATATTAAAACTCACAATCAGTTTAATAACTGGAGAGCACAGGGTTGAAAAATGTACGATTTAACAAGTAAAATCTTCAATAAGTAACAGCGCATGCTGTCAGGTTTGTCCTTGTATGTCGCTAGTATTGACTGCCGCCTTGGTTGTACGTACATAATATACACATCCATGAAGAGAAAAAAGAACACTGTTCCCGATGAGTGGGATTGTCCATCACGTGACCAGCTCACTGTGGATTGCGTTTACATTGTTTGTCGAAAATACACGTTGATAGCTTCGCATGTTTACCAGGAGTATGCACGAGGATCGGAGAGGCCCACAGCCTGCGAGGTACTTGAGCAATGTTGTGAGTGCAGGCTAACATAGTCGGAAAGGATTACGACATCGTCGTCGCTCTTTCGTTCAGGGACCAATAAACAGCTTTGATGAGCCATGCCAACATTCAGAAGACGAACACAGAACCGTAAGTTGCTTTTAATAGAAGCGTAACCACGAGAGAACACCCATAGAGGCTACGTGAATTATCAAGTCACCTGCAATGGCGGAAAGCAGCAGCTAAACGATGAATCGTTTCATGATGATGCTGGTGATTGTAAGCTGTTGAACAAACGGTATTAACAGCAAAGGTTGCACGAGAAGAAGCAGTACGCGCCAAGCCTCAGTATGCCAAAATGTGGCAAGATCATGTCTTTATAAGCAATTTGGACCCAATCCGAAGTTACTGTGGTCGAAATTAATATACAAGGAGAAATCTTTAAAACTCATTTGAAGAAGATACTCGAATGATATCTTTGTCCAATTGGGTCGCTATATAATTAGGCCAAACTAATAATGCTTGGGTTGTAAGTATTTTGGGTTTTGGTAATTTTACGCAGAGCCACAAACTTGAACTTTACGAACTCTGTATCAAACAACAGGATAATTTTACACAGTTTCTGTAAAAGAAAAACTAAAGGTTCTGTCCCATTTCCTTTTCATTCAATTTCCCGGTTTTAATTACAGCTATGCCAAAATGCAATTGAGGCCTTAACCAATATTTGATTTTAATGAAATGAAGTCAATGACTTTCTTCACCGACACTGCGTTTACCAAAGTCAAAAATATATACCAGCAGAATATGCAGAAAATGCTACCCCCATATGAAACAACATAATAATCAAACATAAGTAGCTAACCATATCCCTGAATTTTGCTCAAAATAATTACGTTTTAGTGATGAAGTTGCGCACTTTTTTTACCAGTTAATTGTATTTTGAGTTTACGATATTTGTTGAATGTAAAATATTGACAATGCATCATCACACGCTATACACATGCAATGCATGTATTACTGGGTTCATACTACATGGTGTTCCAAAAAAAAAGAACAATGATAAACGGGAATCAAACTAACGTCTATTTTGTCCCTAAATAATTATTAGAAACTGTTGTTTGAGATATCAAATGTAACTTAAGGTAATTTTGAATTGAGCTCAACATTTCATTTGGAGCTCATGTTGCATTGCGGAAATATTTTAATTACGTAACAGAACTCAGTTAGATGGAGGTTTACTTAAGTAATCTTGCAACTGTTTGTAATCAATTAATTTGGATCCCAAATTCAGAGACTTTCCTTATAACTATTTTATGAATTACAGTGTGGAAGAGTTAAGGTTCAAAACAGCTCACATTTTCAAATTTTTTTTCACACAACTTTTGGTTATAGGGACCTTATCTGAAATTAGATTTGCTAAGTCCTGTCAAGAGCCTATTTTAGGGATTGACAACTTATTTATACATGTCATACCTTTTCCAAAAGTCCTTTTGCAAGCTGTTTGGTGGTGCCAGTAGAGGTGTAGGTTGTTCAGAAAGTTGTTACGTCATGATAACATCATCTAGAAGTGTGAATTTTGTTTCTCATACTAAACAAGTTCTCACCAGTATGAAATTCACTTGATATGTAGAAACTAAATTCCTTATTTTTTTTTAAATAAAAGAAGACATAATCATGTCTTCATATGTCACGTGACGTGTGAACATGCGTTGACTTCTATGGTAGGCCAATATCTCCAGAACTACAAATTCGACAAAGTTGAAAGTTGCCATTGACCAAAACCACGGGTGTGAAAATTGCTTTTGCCTGATCACACACACATGTAATATTCATAAACACTCTATACTCAGTGCTTGTCCAAAAGCTTGGGGAAAAATCACAAGTCTACTCAGGTGGGACTCGAACCCACAACCTCCTGCTTACCGTGCAGACGTAATATTTTGTAATTTACTTTTAGTTGAAACGCAAATCACGTGACATCATTTTAAAGGAACAGCTTCTTTGCTTGTGCTTTCAGTCTATTGACTTTGTACACATTTCCAAGTCGCTATTTTGAAACATTCGCGATGTTTCATCACTGTGAAAGTGATAGGCAACAAAGACCTTGATACAAAATTATATTCAAGAGATGACGGCATGATGACTTCATCATATGATTTAGTATTGATTTTTCATTTTTAAATTCAGCCCATTGACTTTGTAAACGTTTTCAACCGATTTGGGTAATTTTGAGATGTTTGATCATCATCAACGTTACAGCCAACAAAGACCTTGATAAAAACCTTTAGCTTAATTGATGACGCCATTATGAAATCATCCAGTATGTTTTTTATCAATGCTTTCATACTTCACTTTCCAATTTAGATTTTGTAGATGTTTTTCAAGAGCCTGTGTTTGATGCTCTTGTCAATCTGATTGAATTATATAACATTTATGGATCATCCGGGAGCAAAGTGCCAGACAGACTAACTCAGACTAGAAAGTCTTGTTATTCGGAATATTAAGTCGAACTGATGACTAGTTTATTCGAATTCTTTGGCAAGACTCTCAGTGATCTCAGGTTTCCGTAACTGACACAGAACTTGGTTTAAATGGACGGAAAATTGGTAAAGCTTTAATCAAAACAACTACATGGTGCAAACATGGCTGACATAAACAATGAATCTACAATGTGCCTTTTGTCCAGTCAATAGAGGGCGCTATAACAGTTCACTGTAGACCAACTTGATGTAACATCCTCCACCCCGATGAGGTCATCTAGTCCTCATCATAACCTTCAACCGGGTAAATAACTGCGATCTTGGTGATGGGTCGAACGTACTCTCCACCAGATGTCTTAACTCTCACATTCCTGACCCTTCCATCTGAACCTGGGTAAACCTCCAGAACTCTCCCTACAGACCATCTTCCGCGGACGGCATTGCTGTCGGCTACCACTACGATATCATTGATCTGGACATTGCGTCTGTCTGTGGTCCACTTCTTGCGGGGCACCAGTGGTGGGAGTACATCCCGGGTCCACCTCTTCCAAAAGGAAGTGACAATCTCTTGGACAAATTCAACTCGACGCCTTGGGTTCCTAGTCTCTTTGAATGGCCCTTGGGGAACAGCGGTAGAAGCACGCCCCAGAAGGATGTCATTGGGGCTCAGGTAGGAGCCATCGTCTGGATCATTTGGCACCCTTCCTATTGGTCTCTGATTGACAAGATTTGCCACCTCTAACAAAACTGTATAGAGCTCAAACGGACTCAGTACTTGGCTCCCTATGGCCTTCTTCAACGCAGTCTTGCAGCTCTTAACCAACGCTTCAGCACACCCATTTTGATTCCCGTAGTCTATCGGTGTTCCATCCCTGAATCATCTCACGTAGCTCTCGCTCTGCTCCGACGAACTGAGTGCCGTTATCGCTGATCATCATGGCTGGGTAGCCTCTAACAGCAAAAAATCTGCGTAACACCTGCAAATATTCCATAGTGGAACAATCTACTGCCAAATCCAAGTGAACAGCCCTGGTGTTCAGACAAGTGAACAGGACTCCGTAGTGCTTGGTTGTCTTGTTGCCGGAGATACGCACCTGCATTGGCCCAAAGTAATCGCATGAAGTGATGTAGAACGGCGGTGTGTGAGGCATCAAACGCTGTCTCGGTAAGTCGGCCATCATTTGGGATTCAACTCTGTGCTCCAGCTCTCGGCAGAGTACGCATCGGTGCTTTACTGTCTTAGCCAAGCTGTGCGCCTTCAGGATCCAATAGTTCTTGGCTACGGTTGTGGCTACTCCATTGTGGCCGCTTTCATGGATGTTGCGCATTATCAGATGGGAAATTTGGTGATCATGGGGAAGTAGGGCCGGGTGCTTCCTGTTGTACGTCATTATTGATTCGTTCAATCGGCCACCAACTCTCAGGATACCCTGTTCATCAGTAAATGGACTCAGCATCTTGAATTCTCCATTTGCCACTCGCTGGTGTAGAGGTTTTTGTGCTTGAATCAGCCAGTAGTCTGTGGCTTCTGATATCTCGCGAGGCAGGAGTGGACCTCCGGGCTCCTTGTCGGCATTACTCTGCTTCTTCGCCCGTAGGGTGTGGACGAATGGTAAGACATAGGCAGTGACTCTCAGCAATCTTCTCCATGAAGAAAATTTCTTACAGTCAATGGCATCTTGTCAACTAGTGATGATGAGTACAGGCTGCGTCTTCCGGCGTTCTTTGTCAACCTCGTCATTGTCAACGCGGGTGATATCGTGGGGCCAACTCTGCTCTGGTAAGTATAAGAATTCTGGTCCAGTCATCCACTGCTGATTCAACTGGTTCACGTCTACACCCCTGGATATGTCATCTGCCACATTCAGTTCACCTGGTACTGTGAAGGGTCGGACCTACTTTGGATTTCGCCCACTCGGTTTGATATGAATGGCTTGAATCCTCTTGCCTGGCTTCGG